CTATTCTGATTGTTGAATCTAGCTGCTGACTGTTATAACTGATCATAAGTCTTAGTCAGCTTGATTCTATCAGAGATCTGAGGAGAATCCGGAGTATTAGATGTTCTGAACTTGATATCATATTTGAGATTGACTTTCTTATTTTTATAGAACCTGAAAGACAATCAGAGAGCCTGTTGTTGCAGAGATCACAGTTTGAAACTAGCAGCTTCTTGATTCTTAACTTTTCAACAAAATTCATTGAGTGAGGAAAAATTGTCTGCAAATTCATCTATGAAACAGGTTACTTGCAGCTGTGCTTCAAGATCATTATAAAGATACTGAACTAACTGAATTTAATTATTAATCTCAGCTTCACACAGGAGAGTGATTTTGTGAGTTAAATAGAATGAAATTGAAAGCATGTGTCTGATGATGAAATAGTAGCACAGATGTAGTGTTTCTTGTATTACTTGTTATCATAATCTTCTGAATTGCTTGAGCAGTTCAGTTTCTCAAAGATACATGCTGTCATTCATTTCTTGAACTGTATTCAGTTCTAAACCTATAAGTCATTCAAGGACTTTCTCACAAAGACATTGAGAGAGAATTGTGAGCACTGCTTGTTCACTGTATATGTTTGCAATTTGTTGAAAGTGAAGAATGAATATGTGAACTTCAGTTTTCTCAGAGTTAAATATCATAATATCTTCTGATTTGAGTCTAACAGAATAGTGTTCTTTATGATGCTGATAGTCTCTAGTCAAGGTTTGTTGATAAGAGTAACAGCTCTTGTGATACTAATAGTGTGTGAAGTGTTTATCATGATGATGTCTTTCTTCATCTAATGAAGAACTGAATGAAGAGAATAACTCACTAGAGAGAGGCTGAATATTATGAGATTTACACAGTGATTCTTATGTAGTGTTTCTGATGGCATAATTTTCATATTTCTCAATCTGATGATGCTCAGGATTATTTATACTGTGATTCATATTCTGATATCCTTGCATTTGAGCCTGAGCGTTCAGGGAATTGATGAGGTGTGTAAATAACATATGAGAATTAGTGTTGATATCAGGCACTCAATGAGTGGCATTGAAATTGAGGTGAAAGAAGGCCTTTTGAACTCAGTTATTAATAGTTGAATATATTGAGACTACTATAAATTGCTGAGGCTTGTCTGATTGAGTGTTAAGATTATCTGAAACCTTGTTCACTGATCTGAAATCTGATTGCATATTATCATGATTGAAAAACAGAGAATCTAGCTGCTGTATCTGAAGAGTCTCTTACTGATAGTTATTATTCAAGTCAAATGACATAGACTTGTCATCAGCTTGGTTTAAACCTCTACAGAATTTAACAACTCAGTCAGTAAATCAGCTGATAGATCTATAAGATATCATTGAGCTTTTGAATTGTTCTCTTACTCTTATCAGAGTAGTGATTCTGAATGAGTCTTCTTTCAGAGTGAATATGACCTTGACTCACTTAAAGTCAGTGATAGAGACTATGTCTATGAGTTGTTGTAGTTTTTTATTCTTAAAGAACATATAGTATAGCAGTATAAAAGCAGTATCAATTTTAAACTATGTCTTTGAATAGACTGAGAAGGCAGATTGAGCTTGTTTACTCTTACTTACTGTAGAGAAGATCTTATCTGATAAGTCTATAAAAGATTTTAAATCACTTATAACAGAAAAGGAGAAGAGAGATACAGAGTGACTTCTCTCTTAATTCTCTAACATTCTGTTAAGAGATGATTGATATAGAGAAACTTTGTACTATTGACTAATAGAGATATTACAGATATTGAGTTATTTTAAAGTAAGTTCTTTCTCACAGAAGATAAATAACAGACAGAGAATTTCTGATTAAATTAACTTTTTTTAATAGTGAAAGCTAGATCTTGATATTACAGTGATTAGTTTTAACATATTATTTCATATTAGTAAGTACTTAATCTTTTCACAGTATCTGTTATAAACTTTAAAGTGATCTTGTAATAACAGTTACAGTAGTATCTTAACTAAAATATTCTTAACTGAGATTATTATGTAGATATACTATTATTATTATATTAGATTATCAGAAATATAAAAGATAGTTAATTTCTCTAAGTAGAATAGTTAGAAGAAGAAAGAGAAAAAATTAGAAAAGATAAGCAGTTCTCAGAATACACAGACATACTGAGAGTTACATATATAATATATTTATATGTGTGTGAACGCGTGAATAACGCGTGAGTTACACGTATGAATAACTCGTGATCGCGTATATATAACAGAGATGAATAAGAGAAAGTAAAGAGTTCTAGAACTTGAACTATAACTGAAAAAACTCTGTTAACAGAGATTCTTTATAAATTAATTACAGAATGTTAACAATCATTCTGTTATTATATTAATAGCTTATACAGTCACATGAAATTCTAATCTTGATAAAAGATTGAAATTCAATCTTTATAAACTGAATAGCTGTGTTAATAAGACAATCTTCTAATTTAAGAAAGATGTTAAAAATACTGTGATATTAAACAGTCTGACTGATACATTTAATTACATTATATAAAGTATCTTCATGAAATTAAAACTGGTTGATACATAGTGTTAATATATAATAGAGAAATAACAGACTCAGAACTCTCTATAAAGAGATGATAAATAAGTATTATTTTAAAATGTCAGAAATCAGTGACTAGACTGACCGTGTGACTGTGTCTGAAATCAGAATCAAACTTTACAGTTATCATATTGTCTAAAAGCATTACTTCTGATCATAGTTTGTGTTCATTACATTGATTTCAAATCACATTATTTCAAATATTAAAGATCTCAGATTCACTTTTCAAATAAAAATCTAGTTCTGAATAAAGAATATGTTTGAATTCTTAGTCACATTTTCATTCTGATCTCATTATTGAGAATGACACTAAATGAGATTATGAAATTACTTCTCACTTACATAATATCATAACATAGTGCTTATTTGTTGAAAATTCAATAGAGAGTGTTATTAAATATCATTACTTTTCTGAACACAGATTATAATTCATATAATTTTAATTATGAAAAAAATATAAAATACAAAAAAAAATAAAAAACAAAAAACAAAACAAATACAAGAAAAAATCACATTAAAAAAAAAAAAAAAGAAAAGAAAAAGAAAAAAATAAAAAATAAAAACAAAAAAAATCAAGGTCACAGAGTCACAGCATTCTCAAAATACTCACTCTTCAGAGTCTTTATAATATTCATTATCAACTGTGTATCTCTCACAGTGAGAGTAACACAGTTACAATGAGTCATTGTCTTAACATCATTTAACAAATAATCAGTATATATCTATATAAATGTGAATAATTAGAAAATATACACTTAAAAAGTGTGATCAGGGTGAACTCTGCTGTCACTTGAATAACATCAAGAGCAGAATGCTGGAATTGATGATTCTTCTCATCAATTTCATGAACAAGGCGCGCGAAGATGGCCTTGAGAAATATAAGATTTCTCAACTTCTGATAAAAACAGATCTCACAGAGAGACTCTATTTTCATGATATCAGAGACTGAGCATTATCAAAAAGCATTACTTTCATACAATACACATGCACTTACTGCAGTGATTCACTCTCTGTGCATGTGACTGAGAATTGCAGCTTTCTCATGCTGCACAGCTCTCTCTGAGATGCTGCTGTCAGTTTACAACTCATACAGTCTCTCAGTTCAGCATGCACTGTGTGTATGCAGTCCTGCATGCTGAGGCTGTGTTGATTATTATGACCTGACATGGTACTTGCTTTTCACGAGCCATGTTTTGTTAGAAGGAGGAGGAAGACACAACTGTTGTTTTATTGAGAGAGAAATGAATAATTAGTATTATTAAATTATTTTAATTCATCTGCATTTAAAATTTGATTAGTTTATACTCTTCAATTTAAGGGTTTCTATGAGTGTTTTAATAGTTTTCATACCAGCTTGAACTTAGTGATGAATTGAAGAAGAAGAGAAAAGAGAGAAGAAAGAAATGAGAATAACTTATCTTTATAATATGAAAACAGAGAATTGCTGCAATCATTCTCTCTAGCAACAAAGATCTGTTTTCTACATGTATCTCTGATATAGATTATATGATAAATGCATACAAAGAATATCAATAGTGCATGCATTGAATGAAGATAATGTTACTATGTAATACTGTAGTCATTTCTGTACATCTCTGAAAGCTGTTAATAGTTTCTTTGTCTCTTTATATTTGATAAGTTAATAATATATTTCAATGCACTTTCTCTTTCATTATTATCATCATTATCATCATCATCATTATCATCATCATTATTATCATCATCATCATTATCATCATCATCACTATCATCATTATCATTATCATCATTATCATCATCATCATCATCATCATCATCATTATTATATCATTGCCTGTCTCTACTCTCTCTCAACACTCATCAAAATCAATCATGTCATTCTTCTTCAAATATTCTGCGGTTCTGCGGATCATCAAGGCGCGTGAGCACTGTCACAGATTGAAGAGAGAGGAGAAGAAGGTGTTCAAGCACAGAGAGACAGATTATAAGACATATTATGATGCCTTGAAGAGGCTCTGTAAGAGAGTAGAATGATAATGATTTTAAGTAACACTTCTGATAGATTTAGACTGAACTAAGTATAGAAATAATGCAGATGATATCACCTGTGAGAGATTGAAAAAGAAGACAGTGAAGAGTCTCATGCAGTAGCAGTGAGACCAGAAGAAGTTCTGAGAATGATTTGAGACCAAGATGAAGAGAGAGAGAGAGAAGAAGAGTGTTACTGTAAATAAGCAGCAGCAGAAGAAGATTAAGAAGATATTAAAGTGAGAGACAAAGAAGTCAAAACTGATAAGTTTTTATTAAGAGATAATAATTTTTGATAATACTTCTGTTCTCTAATTGATTAGCAGAAGCTGACAGAGAAGAAGGGGATTGAGGCCTTGTTCAGGTCTTGAATGTGCTTCATAATTCAGAACATTGAGAAGGCAGCTCTGCTCTCTGAGTATGTTAATCTGCTTATCACTGAAATGGAATCTGAGACAGCAGACCAGAAAATGCAGGATTTTGAGATACAGATTGACCTGGCTGAGAGAGAGCAGCAGGAACCCTTCTCTGAGAAGGCAGTGAAGAGAGATTTTGAGATGATTATCACCTCAGATGAGAAGAAGAAGAAGAAGAAGAAGAAGAAGAAGAAGAAGAATGAGAAGTGAATTATAAAGAATGATAAGAAGAATGAGAAAGAGAAGAAGTAGATTTTTTTCTTTTTATATTAGTTAGTTATAAGTTTAAGTTTTTAATTATTAATAATTAAAATTGATTTTGAGTTTTCAAAAATTATTGTACAAGTTGTAATCAAGTCAGAAATGATATATATATATATATATATTTAACTATCATGATTCATAAATCACTATAATGTATAAGTATCAACATTTTTTCAACATTGATATTCATAATATTAATATATTTTTAATGATATCATCTGATAATGTAATTTGATAACACTCTCTTTCACAATATTAATATATTTCAAGAAATATAACAGAGATTAATCAAGATTGTTTATTTACTTTTATACATCAATGATATTCAATCTGAGTTAGTACTAAAATTATAACTAAGCTAAGAAACAAGATTATTTTCTCTTATATTAATTCTTCTTACACACATCAGTGATCAGTTATTGAAAATAAATTGTCATCTTTCTTAAATTATTATCATGTCTTCTGAATTCACTTCTTTCACTTCTTTTACTTCTATTGAAGATTCACAAACTCTTCAAGAAATCACTGTGAATCACAAAGTCTATGTTGTTTACAATTCAATACAGAATGCTCTCTTTCAATCATGATGAATAATCATTTCATTCTTCACATCTGATTCCAGGTCATGAAATTTATGGAAAACTCAACATAAACATTGAGATGAACTATGAAATAATTATCAACAGGTTGCATTGCAGATTACTGAAGAGTTATCTCTTTACTATAATCACTGCAACTTTATTCAGAAATATTCATCATGAACTGATCATGACTCTGAAGGAATTTTTCAACATCTGAAGTCATCAGAATGCAGACAATAAAAGAAAAATAATCAGAAAATTACTACTGAGCTGGTAAGTTGCTCTACCAGGTAACAATTTTTGATAATGCTAACTTTCTAATTTGAAGGAAATTATGTGAAAATGACTCTGTACCAGTACTCTGATTTCACAACTCTCATCTGATAACTTTCATGAACAATTACTTTGTATATGTATATCTCTGAATCTTTCTCTTCAATCAATTGAAAACCCTGAATTCTGAACACTTCTTCAAATGCTTAATTCAAATCTTCATATTTTACATCAATCCTGTCTTCAGTTCAATCTCAAGACACACTACAAAGTCAATATACAACATCTAGAATCAGAGTTGAAGAATCATTGAAGAGTGTCTCTCACAGTGAATGCATGAACTAGTACAAACAATCTTGCATTTATAAAAGTTACATGTTATTACATTGATGAGAACTGAACTTATTAAGAGACATTAATTGAATTTGAATCATTGATCAGTAGTCATACTGAGGATTATATAACAGAGATATTAATGACTGTGATTAAAAATAACTATTGAGATATTAGTCTCAGTCTTCTTATAATTACAACTGACAATGCTGTGAATAACTACATTATAATGAAGAGCTTGAAGCAAAAATTGACTTTGTATTCCTGGAATGATAAACAAGGTCATATTCTCTGCATTGCTCATGTGGTTCAACTTGTAATACAAATACTGATAAAGAATCTTAACATTGAGATAAAGAATAATGAGATGACTGATTCTTGAGATGAGAATGAGATGAAAGTAATTACTCAAGTAACTTTTGCATTCACTTTACAAAAGATAATGTTTTTTGACAACACTTTTTGATATTGCTTTTTGATAATGCTTTTTGATAATACTACTGTTAATTTTGAATAGATTGACTAATAATTTAAATATCATAGATTTGAAACATTGCTAATGTGATTTGTATCTCTTCTAAACAATAACAATGATTTCATGATATTCAACAAATAAATAAATCAGTCACATCACTGAATATGATACAGAATGTTAAAATATGATGAAGTTCAACATATGAGATGACTATTCAGACTCTTTGATTGTGTCAGATGATTGATCATTGAGTGTAACACTCTGATTGAGAAAAGATTCAGATATTAAAACTTTCTGATATGAAGTGAACTCAGTTGAAATATATGATTAATTTACTGTTTCAGTTTTATAAGATAATAAAGACAGTCTCAATCACTTGTACATCAATGCTGCAGTCAGTCTGGTGAGTGTATAACAGTTTATTTACTCATCTTGAGAAGCAGTTGAATCACTCAAAAAGAAATTCAGTCTGGGATGATGCTATAGCACAGGCTATTATTACTGCAAGAAATAAACTGACATATTACTACAGCAAAACAGAACAATCTTTTGCAGAGTACTATGCTGTAGCAGCTCTACTAGATCTCTTCTGTTGAGTTAATATCTACACTTCTCAAGATTGAACAGAGGAGAAATGAGACTCATATGTTAAATTAACCTGAGACTACTACAATGTTAACTATCAGAGATTTGAATGAGCAGATGTTCAAGATGTGAAGACAGTGGAATACAATTCCCTAGTAAGTAACAATCTTTGATAACACTTCATATCACATAGAACTATAATACTAACTTTGAAACAGAACTTGCATACATTGATTGCAACTGAAAATCAGGTAAAACTACATGTTTGTAAAACTGAATTTGATCACTATCTTCAAGATGATCTGACAAATTTACACATCAAATCAATTCTAGAGTTATAGAAAATTGTTGAGAGTATATATTCAACTGTTGCACTGATGGCGCGTGATATTCTGATAATTTCATTGACAGAGATGAGAATGAAGTGAAATTTCAACTCAAGTTGAGATATTTATCACTATTATCAGAGACAATTACAAGAAGAAACAATCAAGAAACTCATGATTGTAAAACATAGAATTATCAGACAGTTTAATACCTCTGATCACAGTATATCAGAGAAGTGTAGTTTTCATGAGAAAGTGAAGAATAAACTTGCACAAGAATGTATTTAGTTGTTTCATGAGTGTTATCAATAATCATTACCAAATTCTGATTATATAAGCAATCACTGAATAAACTGAATGAGACTGATTTTGATCTTCAGTCTCAGTCTCATTCTGATTTTGAAAGAATGATCATCTTTCACAGTTTATCCTGGAAAATTACTCTCATTTCACTGTTCTTGAATTAAATCTGGTCATTTTTCACATCATTTCTCTCAGAAATGGTCCATTTTCAGATTTTTTTGAGGCTTGGTCCTGGTGGAACTCACACCAAGAAATGTATGAGACTAGACCAAATGAGATCAAATGTGAAATTCATGGTTCTGCCGGCCAGTCTATCAGTGACTCTACACATTCATTTCAAACTTCTTGAATGCAGATGTCAGATCATATTTCTTCAAGTATAATGAAAATTAAATTACTTATACTCTATGAAATGTGATTGAATAGAAATACTCTGTTCTTAAAACATAGTTACACTGAGAGACAGTTCTGAAATTCATGTCTCTTAATAGCACACAGGTCATCAATCTACATACATTCTTTAATAAGTTTCAGTTCATTATTATGAAATTAAAGATGTTGAATACTTCTCTTTCAGATATGTGAATATTTGATATCTTCTACTCAGTTCTACTCAATAATTGAAGAAATTATGTTCAGAAGAAGATAGAGAAGATACAGGATTTCAAATTCACAGCTGTAGTATTAAATGTTGATCTTCTTATGAAGAAAATTCATTCACAGCTTGATTCTTCAAAAGATAAAAAGAATCTGCAGAATATAGATTCTGCAGTTAACACAGCTATAACAGCTACAACAGTTATAATAACTATCAACAACAATACATTGAATTCGGCCTGTGAAGGCCGTACTGAACATGGTCATAATAGTACTTAAGAGAGCTTTTAAAATCATCAGAGATCAGAAAACTCATCTACATGTTCTGAATATAAGAGATCTTACTTTGATAACTGTTGATTAATCAATTCAGACAGTGCTTCAGATAATTGAAGAATCTACAATGCTGTGAGAATAAAGAAATTCAATGAATCTGCCGCCATCAACCGCTCCACCACGAACTCGCTCAATTTTTCGAATAAGAACCCGCCGATAGATCCATCGAAAAGCCCTCGATCATACAAGCATTTTGACCCCATCGCTGACTGCATACCCCGTGTGGTGGTGGAGTTATCCAGCCAAACATGAACCGGACGTTGTTCGAAGCTCCTGTGTGGGATTATCCCCTGTTCTCCCCTACCACACCACAACCCCGGGCCAGAGTGCCATACAAATTGTAAGGTGAAGTGACCTAGCCATATGCATCAATCTTCTCGATTTTGGAAGACCCCTGACCTGTAGTTGTGAAGATATCCGAGGAGCGACCTCCGCGAAAACCCTGTCCATCTTTGATGTTTCAAAACACCAACGCCAAGTCTCACCCTCGTACCGCCTAGACTGACCGTGTGACCGTGTCTGAGACCAGGATCAAACTTTACAGTTGTCACATTGCCTAAAAGCATTACTCCTGATCATGATTTGTGTTCATCACATTGATCTCAAATCACATTATTTCAAATATTAAAGATTTCAGATTCACTTTTCAAATAAAAATCTAGTCTCAGATAAAGAATATGTTTGAATTCTTAGTTACATTTTCATTCTGATTTCATTATTGAGAATGATATTAAATGAGATTATGAAATTACTTCTCACTTATATAATATCATAACATAGTACTCATTTGTTGAAAATTTAATAGAGAGTATTATCAAATATTATTACTTTTCTAAACACAGATCATAATTCATATAATTTTAATTATGAAAAAAATATAAAATACAAAAAAAAACAAAAAACAAAAAATAAAACAAATACAAGAAAAAATCACATTAAAAAAAAAAGAAAAGAAAAAGAAAAAAATAAAAAATAAAAATAAAAAAATAAAAAATAAAACAAAAAAAATCAAGATCACAGAACTGCAGCATCTCTAAAATACTTACTTCTCAGAGTCTTTATAATGTTTATCATCAACTGTGTATCTCTCACAGTGAGAGTAACACAGCTGTAATGAGTCATTGTCTTAATATTATCTAACAAATAATCAGTATATATCTGTATAAATGTGAATAATTAGAAAATATACACTTAAAAAGTATGGCCAGGATGAACTCTACTGCCACTTGAATGACATCAAGAACAGAATGCTGAAATCAATGATTTCTCTCATCAATTTCATGAACAAGGCATGCAAAGATAGTCTTGAGAAATATAAGATTCTTCAACTTCTGATAAAAATAAATCTCATAGAGAGACTCTATTTTCATAATATCAGAGACTGAGTGTTATTAAAAAGTATTACTTTCATGTAATGCACATGTACTTACTGCAGTGATTCACTCTCTGCATATGTGACTGAGAGTTACAGCTTTCTCACACTGTATAACTCTCTCTGAAATGCTGCTGTCAGTTTGCAACTCACACAGTCTCTCAGTTCAGCACACACTGTGCATATACAGCTCTGCATGCTGAGGCTGTGTTGATCATTATGATCTGGTGTGATACTCACTTTTCGCGAGCCATGTTTCATTTGAGGGGAGGAAAAGGAAGACACAACTGTTGTTTTATTGAGAAGAGAATGAATAATTAGTATTATTGAATTAATTTAATTCATCTGTATTTAAAATTTGATTAGTTTATACTCTTCAATTTGAGGATTTCTATGAGTGTTTTAATAGTTTTCATACCAGCTTGAACTTAGTGATGAATTGAAGAAGAAGAGAAAAGAGAGAAGAAAGAAATAAGAATAACTTATCTTTATAATATGAAAACAGAGAATTGCTGCAATCATTCTTTCTAGCAACAAAGATCTGTTTTCTGCATGTATTCCTGATATAGATTATATGATAAATGTATACAAAGAATATCAATAGTGCATGTATTGAATGAAGATAATATTGCTATGCAATACTGTAGCTGTTTCTGTACATCTCTGAAAGCTGTTAATAGTTTCTTTGTCTCTTTATATTTGATAAGTCAATAATATATTCTGATGCACTCTCTCTTTCATTATCATCATCATCATTATTATCATTATCATTATCATTATTATCATCACTATCATTATTATCATTATCATCATTATCATCATATCATTGCCTGTCTTCACTCTCTCTCTCAATGCTTATTAAAATCAATCATGTCATTCTTCTCTAAATATTCTGTGGTTCTGCGGATCATCAAGGCGTGTGAGTGCTATCACAGATTGAAGAAAGAGAAGAAGAAGGTATTCAAGTACAGAGAGACAGATTATAAGACATGTTATAATATCTTGAAGAGGCTCTGTAAGAAAGCAGAATAATAACAATTTTAAGTAACACTTCTGATAGATTTAGACTGAACTAAGTATAGAAATAATACAGATGATGTCATCTGTGAGAGATTGAAAAAGAAGATAGTGAAGAGCCTCATGCAGCAGCAGTGAGATCAGAAGAAGTTCTGAGAATAATTTGAAACTAAGATGAAGAGAGAGAGAGAGAAGAAGAGTGTTACTGTAAATAAGCAGCAGCAGAAAAAGATTGAGAAGATATTAAAGTAGAAGACAAAGAAGTCAAAACTGATAAGTTTTTTATTGAGAGATAATAATTTTTGATAACATTTCTGTTCTCTAATTGATTAGCAGGAGCTGATAGAGAAGAAGGGAATTGAGGCCTTGTTCAAGTCTTGAATGCACTCTATGATTCAGAACATTGAGAAGACAGCTCTGCTCTCTGAGCATGTCAATCTGCTTATCACTGAGATGGAACCTGAGACAGTAGATCAGGAAATGCAGGATTTTGAGATGCAGATTGATCTGGCTGAGAAAGAGCAGTGAGAACCCTTCTCTAAGAAGGCAGTGAAGAGAGATTTTGAGATAATTATCATCTCAGATGAGAAGAAGAAGAAGAAGAAGAAGAAGAAGAAGAAGAAGAATGAGAAGTGAATTATGAAGAATGATAAGAAGAATGAGAAAGAGAAGAAGTAGATTTTTTTCTTTTTATATTAGTTAGTTATAAGTTTAAGTTTTTAATTATTAATAATTAAAATTGATTTTGAGTTTTCAAAAATTATTGTACAAGTTGTAATCAAGTCAGAAATGATATATATATATATATATATTTAACTATCATGATTCACAAATCACTATAATGTATAAGTATCAACATTTTTTCAACATTGATATTCATAATATTAATATATTTTTAATGATATCATCTGATAATATAATTTGATAATACTCTCTTTCACAATATTAATATATTTTAAGAAATATGACAGAGATTAATCAAGATTGTTTATTTACTTTTATACATCAATGATATTCAATCTGAGTTAGTACTAAAATTATAACTAAGCTAAGAAACAAGATTATTTTCTCTTATATTAATTCTTCTTACACACATCAGTGATTAGTTATTGAAAATAAATTATCATCTTTTTCAAATTATTATCATGTCTTCTGAATCTACTTCTTTCACTTCTTTTACTTCTATTGAAGATTCATAAACTCTTTAAGAAATCACTGTAAATCACAAAGTCTACATTGTTTACAATTCAATACAGAATACTCTCTTTCAATTATGATGAATGATCACTTCATTCTTCACATCTGATTTCAGGTCATGAAATTTATGAAAAACTCAACACAAATATTGAGATGAACTATGAAATAATTATCAACAGGTTGTATTATAGATTACTGAAGAGTCATCTCTTTGCTGCAATCACTGCAACTTCATTCAGAAATATTCATCATGAACTGATCATAACTCTGAAGAAATTTTCTGACATCTGAAGTCATCAGAATGCAGACAATAAAAGAAAAATAATCAGAAAATTACTACTGAGCTGGTAAGTTACTCTATCAGATAATGATTTTTGATAATACTAACTTTCTAATTTGAAGAAAATTATGTGAAAATGACTCTGTATCAGTACTCTGATTTCACAACTCTCATCTGATAACTTTCATGAATAATTACTTCACATGTGTATATCTCTGAATCTTTCTCTTTGATCAATTGAAAACCCTGAATTCTGAATACTTCTTCAAATACTTAATTCAAATCTTCATATTTCATATCAATTCTGTCTTCAGTTCAATCTCAAGACACACTACAAAGTCAATATGCAACATCTAGAATCAGAGTTGAAGAATCATCAAAGAGTGTCTCTCACAGTGAATGCATGAACTAGTACAAACAATCTTGCATTTATAGAAGTTACATGTTATTACATTGATGAGAACTGAACTTATCAAGAGATATTAATTGAATTTGAATCATTGATCAGTAGTCATACTGAGGATTATATAACAGAGATATTAATAACTGTGATTAAAAATGACTATTGAGATATTAGTCTCAGTCTTCTTACAATTACAACTGACAATGCTGTGAATAACTACACTATGATGAAGAGCTTGAAGTAAAAATTGGCTTTGTATTTCTGAAATAATAAACAAGGTCATATTCTCTGCATTGCTCATGTGATTCAACTTGTGATACAAACACTGATAAAGAATCTTAACATTGAGATGAAGAATAATGAGATGACTGGTTCTTGAGATGAGAATAAGATGAAAGTGATTACTCAAGTAACTTTTGCATTTACATTGCAAAAGATAATGTTTTTTAACAACACTTTTTAATATTGCTTTTTGATAATGCTTTTTAATAATACTAC